CATTAAAAATTTTAGTCATTCACAATGAACTCGTTTGCATCTTAATTGTTAATAGTTTTTACAGTAATATATTTTCATACCTTGTGAATGTATTTGAACCGTGGTGTTTCTTGTTTTCTGAGGCTGTTTGTGTTGCACAACAGGACTTCTCGGGAAGTGATTGAGAAGGTGAAGAATGTGTCTGTGCCGATGTGTTTTTTTTTAAAGGCAAATTCCATTTTATCTTAATATCGCTTGTGTGTTTGCTAGAATTTTAATGTATTTGCTTCCTTGCTGTTCCCTACAAATTTGACAGGTAGCTTAGTAGGCCATTCAGTTACTTGTGCAACCATCTGTAAACCCAGACACCTCTGGTTAGCATTAATATTTCTGTCATGTTCTTTTACTACAACCTGGGGAAGCTAACCTGGACCTCAAAACTGTACTGATTTTATATAATGTATATATCAATATCACGACATTTTAATCATTTAACGAGCGTTTTTTTTTTGTTTTTTTTAATTGTCACATAATTATTGCTTTTCTTGTGTAACCACGGTTTTTATGCAATTTTTACCCAGAGCTTTTTTGTGTTAAAATCTACTAAGATCTGTTTAGACGGAAGGCACTGAATATTCGAATTCTTAACTAAATGGAAATGTTTGTGTTTTGCATCCATTGTCTATTACTCACTGCTTTATATCGCATGAAGTTATATTATATTGTTATGTTATAGAAAGATAATGGCTAGCTTTATGTAGAGTAGAATTTAACGCATGGTTTTACACTGCTCTAAAGATTGTGTTAAAAAAAATGGAAACCCATTTTTTTTTCCAAATCAACTTGAGCCCTAAAGAGTAAATCAATACTTTCGTGTTTACAAATTGGGTGAAACTTTACACGCTACAAACCTCGTGATTCCAGCTGACTTCGATAAAACAGACCATCTGATGTATCCAATGCTTCGTTGTCTTGTTTATTACTAGTGCGCCCTCATTGGTATGGTAGTATGTCAGCGGACTTGTACTGCTAGAAATCGGGTTTAGATACCCGTGGTGAGGAAAGCTTAGATAGGTCCTTTTTGTATCCTTGTGCTTCCTAACAAACAAAATTACCAGTGCATTTGAGTTATTAAAAATTGACAGAAATAGCAAATCAGAAAATATTCCTGTAGTAGAGCAGAAGAAAGGCTCGTCACAACAATGTCCTCAATCTTAAGCCTCAAAAAGTTTGTAACAATTCTGGCGATATATTGTCAACAATTGAATAATTTAAGCATGGCAGAATGAGAGAAAATATCCATGTAATCTAGGAAGTTCGTTTAGTTTTGTAACGTGTTTATAAAGAATTGATTTCCGACCGAGAAAACGATTAGATTTTATCAAACTTTAAGTGTTATATATTTTCGAAATTAATTTTTTTCGTTGGGTTTTTAACTTTCGATTTTTATAGTATACAAGTAAAGGAAAGTAGTTTTTCAAAAAAGGAATTACAAGTTTTTTGTTTTTTTTTTAAATACAGTTATTCAATAGACATAGGAAGGTTGTATTTATAATTTGTTTAACATCATTGTTAACAAGAAATTCAAACCTTTTGCTATGATACTTACAGACATTCCCAGAACTTTTGACTCGGTCATTACATTGATATTGTTAAAAAAGGAAACACTGTCTAGTATTGTAAAGTTATGATGACCTGTTGAGGAGATATTTAAAATACAATTTCCATGAACAATCCGAGCCATCCCTACATAGGCAGTGTTACCGCCTGCCTGATTTAGGTTAGTAATCGTTATTTTATTTTATTGAAACATATTTTTGTAAGCGTTGGATGTCTCCTGTTACGTTTAATGACGTTAAAGAGGATTTTTTACAATTAATTGCATTTGGATATTTTAGTATAAAAATGTTATATCTCGATTACATAATTTCTTTTCTGTTATGGTAGGTAGATAGATAACTTGACTATACTCGATTGGTTATGGTTTAAATGGTTTCAATAAATCTTTATTTAATTGTGCTATATTGGCATTGCTTTTGACAGCGATAAATCAGAAGAATGCCCGTTTCTTTACTCTTGTACACCTTACTTTCACGGTTGGTGAGGAGATATGGTAGGTCCCTAGCAGTTTTAAGTCACATCAGTGACCCTGTCGTACTTCACTTGTCTGTCTCCCTGTTATTGATCAACATTATAGCCGCCCCCTTCTCTCCCCATCACCGTCTTAGAACTCTGGCAAACCGGTCTCGCTACTACACCCCGGCCATGGTGTCTTTAGGAAAATTTTGCTGCACCCCTTGTCGCCTTCGGCATTAAGTAACCTGCAGCACATTTCAAGGTTAACCGCCACTAAGTCCGTCAACCTTATACTTGACGCTCTTTTCAAACTTCGAGTCTTTCGTGATTCCTTTATCCAACTGTAGGTGCATCATGGTTAATTGTGATAATTAAAAAGATGCAAAAGAGAAAAGTAAATTACTTGTGAATCGTTTATTTCGCTGTAAGCTCGGTTAATAGAAACTGCTATATTGTAAAATTATGCTTGACAATCAAAATTAATCGAGCATCATATTCTTTAATATTATGAAAACAAAAAGCAATATCTAATCATTGTTTAAAGACCTTTTTTTTCTTCAACGGTGTAACAAATGCATTACACTCTTTTGCTTAAATCCGCGTCATCGAAGAACTATATGCTACAATATATTCATATGTGGGTTGGTTAAAGTAATTTTACGCAAAATTTTAGATTGAATTACTGGAAATATATTGCATGTTTCAATTGTAGACGTTTACAAATATTCATTTCAACGGGGAGATAATGTATTTGTTTTAGATCCATTGAATAATTTATTTTTTTATATATGTAGTATTGAATGGTTTACAAATTTAAACAAAAGAGGGCACATAAAACCGCAAATATAGTTCATTTCTCACTATAAAGCAACTTATTACCAAACCACGTGAATATATTATTGTTGACACCTTTTCATGCACAGTACAATTCTAATAACTTTCACAGATACCCGACAGATCAACGACCTCAGAAACACCCGAGAGTGGCTGCCTAGATAAGTGCTTTAACTTGGCATATCACCAATAATATATGCAGTAGCCAACGGCTGACTCCATGGGGCATTTTGCTACTGCGCTTGAAAACATTTTTTTTTTGTTTTTGTTTGGAAAGAACATAGTTTCCGTACTTCGTTTTGAACAGGATAATACAATAGCAACACGTAGGAACCCGCAGCCGAATCAGTCACGCCCTGGACTTAGCTCTTTTTTTTTCGCCAATGTAGAATATAAAATGTTATGAATAAAGATAGGATAGAATATACGCTTTAGGATAACGTCAACTTTTAGATCAGATAAAATATTATCACGATGGTAATGATACATTACAAAGCGATAACCTTTGCTGGAACACAAACATCTAACTGAAGGTTTAAAGACTATGATCAGAAACGAAAACAAGTCCGTTTCGGTTGGACATAGCTAATTAGAATCGTAATTTCGACATTTGGAAAATAAGTGTTATATTTGATGGTGTAACATGTATGTGTGTGTGTGTGTGTGTGTGTGTGTGTGTCTCTCTCTCTCTCTCCTCCCCCTATCCCGTTGGATAAGCATTAAGTATGATGGCTTATAACGCTAAAACACTGGTTTCGAGACTCGGCGGGCAGAACACAGCCTATTGTGTAGCTTTGCGCATGAAAGCTAATTTTATTGGCATAAGAATATCGGCTGTAAAAATGTAGTTATGTTCAAAATCAGATTTAAAAAAATCCAATAAATAAATTAAAAAGTGGTCATCTTTTTCAACCATACGATATTTATTAAGCATATGTATTAACTAACAATAAAAGTATCTTGTTGTGTATATGAATGAAAACTAAATGATTGTTTAATGTAGATTAAATTCCAGCCATGTACGTAAAGAATTTGGTACAGACTTCACGTCATATCCTAACTGCATACGTTTAACAAAAATAGAAACTGTGGATAGTATTATGTTATTGCTAGTTTTAAAATATCTACGTTAATTTTTTTAAAAACTTTTACATGCTTTGAAGTATTGTGTACTTATCGCCTATAGTGATTTTTATTTCAAATACCAGTACGAAATTTTAATGTTGTGATTTTGTTCTCAGTTTACTCCCGAAGAAGAGAAGTTGATATCATTCAAAAGCGTCAGGTTTATGAACCTTATCAATTTTTTTTATCATTCTATGTGGTTTATTAGTATAAAGAATGTGATTACGGTACAGTATATTGTTTCTTCCAAATCGTATTGGACTGGAACTGTAAGAGTATTAGTGATTAAACATGGTAAACAGATCATGTTACATTTCATCAAGAAACCAGATAATTGTATGTTACATAATGTAGCTCTGTGTGTGTGTGTGTGTGTGTGTATATATATCTATATCGGGGTTGCTTGGTTACGTTTTTCAAAATAAGTATGATGGACAGGATTAGCCTGTCATCACTAACGCTATGTATCTTCCAAGCTGACCTTAAGCCGGACTAATCTGACACATTTACTGACGCTAATACTACTTGTATGATTCCCTGATTTGCAATTCATACTGTAGTAGCACCAAACTTGAAACCTTAAGGCATTTCTTCTTCAGTAAGATACCACATCAAAGTTAAAATTGCTGGTTTCAAACAAATCTTTGTGCCCTGTTGCACCTCAAATAAGATGACCCTATGTCGGTGTACTCTGTATTTGAAAAACAAAAATAAATTAGCCGAATACTTTTTTTAATCTACTTAAAACGACATTTTACTTCTACATAGATATCATTACATACTTAACCGATTTGTCATTGTTAAACATATGGTTACCCTAACTTTAATGGTCAAAAGAAGCAATCCGTGCTTGCCAGTGTTTGTTATCTCGAGGTTCTCATGTGTCATTAAATATATTTTTTAATTAATTGCAGAGAAAAGTGTTATCACACAAATCACTTGACAAATATTAGTTAGTATTTAGGCAAGTTTGTTTTCTATTTCAGTTCTAGTCTCGGCAAACACGTTACCAAAGAAGAACAAAGATGTAGTCGAAGGAGAAATGGTTCGTCTCCAATGTCGGTTCAACCCGGCGCTTTCTTCAGGGACGATCTTATATTATTGGATAAGAACAAACAAAGATGGTAAAGACAACGCTGCCATTAGCGGCGTGGCCTTAGATCCACATTACCAAGTTGAATTTGCTCCCAATGAAGGCAGATATGACTTACTTATCTCACATGCTAAATATGATGCAGACAATGGTCACTTTGAGTGCAAGTTGAAGGAAGGTGGTAGTGGAGCCGATATCTACAACATGGCCTTTACAGTCACAGTGCTCAGTAAGTTAACTAGTTATGGTTACTGTAATGAATAGGTGATATCCAAAAACGTAGCGTGTAACGTGTTATTCCAGATTCTGGAGAAGTGTTTCTATTTAGATCATTGTAGTTGAAACTTGCTATATATATGTTTGTGTATTCATCCAAGAAAAAAAAAACAGTATATGATATAAACAAAGCTTTTTGGCTCTACTCACATTGTATCATTTATTTCTTGTGCTATGAAAGTACATTTTTATTAAATGTAACTTATTGATGATTTTTTATGTGAGTTAAGAGCCAGTTTTACAACGCCTTAAATGATGCAATGTAAATAATGCTAAGTTGCCTTATTTTGCTGTGTTTATGATATATCGTCTATTGTTTGAGCTAAAGCAGAATTTGGTCTGTTTTTCGCTAAGCATTTTTGGACGAATTTCACGTACTTTTGAGTATGACATCAATCCAAGGCATACAACTATCATTATTATATGTATGATGTGTCGAGATATATTTTTCTCTTCACAGTTATCCCAAAGAGAGTGGCCTGGCATAGCCTGTTGGTTAAGGCGATTGACTCGTAATCTGCGGATCGCGGGTTCGAATCCCCGTCACCGACCATGCTTGCCCTTTCAGCCGTGGGGGCGTTATTTAACAGTCAGTCCCAGGTTCGTTGGTAAAAGAGTAGCCAAAGGGTTAACGGTGAATGGTGTTGACTTGCCGCTTTCCCTCTTACTATCACTACTAAATTAGTAATGAATAATAACCCTATAACCCGAGCGCTTTCGAAAGGTAGGCCTTTCTTGTTCAGTCTGCCCCTGAAGAAGAAAGGTCCACCTTTCGAAAGCTTTTGGGTTATAGGATTTTTATTCATTTTTATCAAAACTTCTTGAACCTACGTGTTTTTCTAACATCATGACTGCTAAATTAGTATTATAATTACTGTTTAATTAGACTTTTAAAAGGGGGAGGAACTTGTACGGATATGCAATTTGCAGCTCAGAATATTGTTAATGTTATACATTATCAAGGATATTAGACGAGAGTGGAAAATGTTATCTCTAAGGATAACGTGTGAGAAGGCTGGAAGCAAAATTTTCGCGAAATAAAGTGAGATTTGGTGGCCATGGTCAGTTTTCTAGGTGCTCGCGTTGCAGTCGCTTAGTTCAGCGTTCGCTACCGCACTTAGCGTGCTTACTTCTAGGAGTTGCTTTCCTTATCTGCAAAATACAGATTATTTTCAAAACCATTTTGCATTTTTGACCATCAGACTTTAAAAAATTGTGCACACTGAACTGTCACCTTCACATTCATACCACTGAGAAATAAGACTCGCACCATTTGTTTTTCTTTTTTTTTTTTTTGTTGTTGTTGGACAAAGATTGGAGTACGTATTGAAAATCGTGAAATTTTCTGTAAACTTCGTCATTCTAGAATTAAAAGTAGGTAAAGCCGGTGAATGAAATTTTGCATACATGTCATAAAGATGCGTGAACTTTAAGATAAAACAAACATTTCCGTTTTTATACATATCGAGCAAACTACATAAACGGAAAAACTAATAGTTTTGTTTCTTAATTACCATTCTGGATACAAAACTATTTTATTAGATATATATTAGTTCTCTCCACATTAAATTTCAATTTATTAAAACAGTTTTATACGGTGTTAAAAACAAACATTACGACGTTTCGCACACGATATCATGTCATCCTGAGCTTTAAAGCGTTGAAATAATGTTTGTATGAACGTATAATGAGACTAGTAAATTAATTTTAAAATGCTCATTTGTGTTTCTTTAATTATGAACTAGATTAGACGCCATCAAGTATTGCTTTAAATTTTAGCATCGTAATTGAGTACCCATAACTATATTATGACGCCATCTGTTAATTGTAAACATTTATATTATATAAAAACGTATTTCAAATAGTATATTTATGTTGGATGTAACCGCATTGAAGATATTTATTAATCTCTTCACAAGTAAATAAAACTGCAATATTTCTTTTAGATATAACTTCTCGATTGTTGAGTGTGCGGCTGTGTAGTTTGTTTGAAGAAATATTGTTTAAGTACATACAGTAATCTACTGTGAACGTACATATTTATCTAAGGTAAGTGATTTGTAAAAGAATAACTTTAACATGAAATTAAAAAAAATCGTGAAATGAATAGTGTGGTTAATATGTTACATTCGTCTCTACCTTCGCTCATCAGCTCTTTTAATTTAGAAAAGGCAAAACTTGTTGGTTTTGTGCTTCTACTGTAACATAATACATTCATCAATTCAATTTTTCGCTTTTTATGTCCTTCCAGTTCCGCCAGGACCACCAAATATAATCCCTACAAACCCTACGGCAAAAGAAGGTGAGCCATTCACTCTCACGTGCTCCAGCGAAGGAGGTAGCCCTGATCCTCTCATCCAGTGGTATCGGGAAGGAACTCCACTACAAGGGCAGTTACAGAAGGGAGGATCACGAGATAAGCCTACTTCAAGTGTTTTGAAGATATCACCTAAAATGGAAGATGATGGCGCCACCTATCGGTGTGCTGTATGGAATAGAGCAATTCGCGAAGAACAGAGACTTGAAACAAGTGTTACACTAAAAGTGCATTGTAAGTCAGTCAATAGTGATTTACATTGAAATTCAGGTTCAAAGTGTCTATAAGTTAACCTATTTTATCCTCAACTTTATAGCTTATTCAAACGTTATATTGTTTTTGCTTTAAGTTTAAGAAAACAGCCTGAAACTTAGTTACTAAACAAAAAGATTTTAATAGCGTTTTATTTCATTGTGAATTTTATATTATTAAATTTCTTTAATACATTTAGAACTGATTCTTTAATATTTCAGTTTTTCCAAGAGTAACAGTTGGACCATATAACCCCTTGAACATACTTGTGGATAAAGAAGCTATTCTGACTTGTTCAGTTGAAGCTAGTCCTTCTGTTCATTCTGTACGCTGGGTGAAAGACAATCAGCTGTTGTCTAACGCTTATAACCACACCATCTTGGCAGTAACTCCAGATGACAGTGGAATTTATACTTGTATTGCAGATAATGGAGTTGGAAAAGCAAGTCAACGCAATCTGGAGCTGTCTGTTTTATGCAAGTATTTTTGTCATCGTTTTGTATAGTGAAATAAACTTGTGACCTGAAGTTTTAATTAAGGCTATAAAACGTATATATATCCTGTAATGCATATATTAGGTTGCTGATGTGTATTGTGTTCAAGTGATACAAGGCTATTAAAGCCCATTGAAGTTACCCATTCACACACAAAATTACCAGGTGTTAACATTTTTACCATCAAATATCTATCAAATAAAACTTGAACGGTTTTAAAATAGTTATATAAATCATTTATAAAGGTAATAAATATCCCTCCCCCCACAAAAAAAAATCTCGTGAGTGACATTTGTTCATTCAGAATTATGTACATTCATTGTTGACCTTTGTATTTTACCATGAAATCAATTTTTTACTTTTTTTTTAGTAACATCTTTGATAATCTTAACTTTCTAACTGACATTTTGTGTAGAAGCTTATGAAAGGGTTTTTGAAAATCATTGTGCAAAATGTTGACAAGAAAGTCTATGCAAGAAAGTTCAACAAGAGAAAAACCCATATCTAAAATCATATCCAGTATCAATGATTAAATGCTAGCTTTCAAAATTTAATTTATCATTGGACAAAAGATTTAATTACTTTCTTGCAATATAAGTCAAGCTAATAAACCTGTATTTTCTCAGATCCCACTTTAATCCTTGTTTCTTAAAAAAAGGAACAACATTACTAATCTTTTTAATCACCAAGATTCTCCTCTTATTCCAGAAGTTTTCTGAAATTTATCTGATAACCACTAACTTTCTACTAATTTTTGCCATTTAGGATAAACTTCATCTGCATCATGAGAAGAGTCAGTCTTACTGAAACAATTTACACTTTAATAGTATTGAAACTAAATTATATTACCTGCCAATAAACATATCAAACAATTTAAAGCTAATGGAAAGCTCACCTCTTTAGCCATATTTCTGTAATAATCATACATTTTCAGTATTATTTTCCGAAAGTACAGTGTTACTTTTATATATATACTGACTAGATATATATAGTGTTTATGGAATTTTGAAGTAATACTTTGCTTTTACTATTTGCAGATGGCCCACGAGTGATGGTGGAGAAGCACAAAGAAGTTTCTGTGGGTGATTCCATATCCATTAAGTGTAATGTAGACTCCAGCCCACCTCCCCATTCGCTACTGTGGCGAAAGGAAGGAGACCCTTTTTTCCAGCAGAATGGTGATACCTTGCAGTTGAGTGACGTCAATGCTGATCATTCTGGGAAGTATGTTTGCCAGGCAACCAACATTTTGAAACCAGCTGGTTCTGTAGTTCAGAAAGAAATGACAAGCAATGCATCAGTTACTATTCTTGTCCAACGTGAGTGTTAAAAGCTTAATGTTACATTATTATGTATGTGTAGAATAACATAGTTTGCCCTAATGATGTTTCTAATTGTGTAAATTATGTTTGTTTATTTAAACTCTTAAGAGCATTAGTGTGGTATCATTATAGAATTTTTTTTTTTGGTTTCATGTGTTTTGTGTACCCTCTATAGATGATTCTTTTCCATTTCTAGATAAACCAGGAGATGTTGAAATTGTCCCTCAAAATCCAGTGGCAGTAGCTGGAAAGCCTTTTACTTTGACTTGTTTAGCACAACCTCCTGGATGGCCTCTGCCAGAGTATCGGTGGTGGAAAGAAGACAGAAAAGGCACAGACTTGGCAAGAAAAGTAAATTATACAATCATGTCTGTACATCTGAGCCATGAAGGTCATTACTACTGTCAACCCCAAAATTTGCTTGGTCCAGGCAACATTGGATCTGTTTATCTTACAGTTCAAGGTAAGGCATAAAGAAAATAAGTGTTTAAGTGGAAAGAGAAAATGTTTATTTAAATGCATACTATCATGGCATAACATAAGATTAAAGGGCAACAGTGATTGAAGGACTTCTTTTAGAAAGTATATTTCTAGAAGTCTTCACAGTCACATCGTAGAAAGTATTGAATATGACAAGTAATTTAAAGTTTTGCTTCACAAATAAAGTATACACAAAGCAATAAATTGCAGACAGAAATGTTAGGGGTGCAACTGACCTTCTTTAGGCTTTTCACAGTTGTTGATACTTGAAGTTAAATAAACTGAATTTTTCAGTTTCAGCTTAATATCATGTTTCACAAACTGATCATAGAACAAATTAATAATTATCCTTTTTATTTGAAAATGAATTTTAAAATATCCGACAAGCTTGTAACTATATAATCGTATCCATTCACAGCAGGCAACTTAGGTATGCAAATTTTATACTGTGTATTTGTTTATAATGGATTATATAGAGTACAAGCTAAAATACCCATCAACTGATGGGGTAATGTTTCAACTTAATTAAAACAGTGTAAGTTTAACAGCAATTTGGTTGAGATTGTTCCAATAGTCTCGGAGGAGTTAGGGAGCTAACAAACACAGATTTCATCTTTATATATAGATATAGATTTAATCTCAGCATTTTATCTGACTAAGTGTGATAACTTTTTAGCCCTTCAAAGTATAAAGAAACTACATTGGACTGCAGATGTTTTTTCAGAAGTCTGTTGCAACATATAATAGCTTTTACTTAACAGAAGTTATAGAATTTTTATCATTGTGTTATGGAAAGAAACTTTATTTTTGAGTATTGGAAGCTTCATATTTTTCCTAATAAACCTTTCATGTAACCCAAACAAAATTTATATGTACTGAGCTTTAGGAGATTTTTTTATATATTTTGAACAAGAGAATAAAATATTCTTTTAGGAAATAATTTTTTTTTCAAGGATTGCAAGGATTGACTATAAGTCTAAAGGCTTATGTTAAAATCCAGGCTTCAGTACTTTGTGCTTGAAAGCAAAGAATAATAAGATGCAAATCTACCTATGACTAGACAGTGGTAAGGGACAAGATAAACTTAATGCAGAAAAAATATGGTTATAGGGGGAAAAGCATAGTGTAGGAACAAAGAATAGAAATAGTTTTAAGGGAAGTCTAAATCTTTACTTTGTAATGCTAGAAGTAAAGCATTACTTAGGGATGTTCAGTCTTTCTCAGTTTTTGTTAATGTATAGATAGTGGGTAGAAGACTTTTAGTTGGAATTTGTTGCAGGCTACTAGTTTTTAATGTAAAGCATATAGGTTGGGTGATTGTAGGGGTGTTTTATTATTATATAGAAACTATAAGATGGTTTTCCATATCAGTTGGTTGGTTAGTGAACCTACTAGAAACAATTTTAACACAGAAATTGTTAACAAGGTGGAGATTGTGGAGAATTTGGGTGAAAATGGTCATTGCTCAATTAGTTTGTTTTACTGCATATGGAGATCAAGAATAAAATGAGATTTTGATTACAAATTTCAAATTTTGAAGGGATGCAATAAGAATTGTCTGTTGTAAACTGGATTTCTGAATTAAATGTAGATACTAATAAGATGTAAAAGTTTTAGATATTCATAATAGTTATGTTTCACATAGAGAGAAAAAAAAATTGTGACTGCAACTAAAACATCAGGTTGGCTCACTATGAGTACAAGGAATAAAACTGTTAGCATTACAAACTTAAGAAGTTTTAAATTGGTGGGAGAATTAGAGGATTGTAGAAGATCAAAAGGGTTAGTTAAACAGGGCATTAAACAATTGAAAAGGAAGTTTGAAAAAATGTTGGCTAAAATATGAAATTTAAAAGTAAGGATTGCTTTAAATACATAAAAGGTGAGCAAAATGTTTGGATGGGAGTAGAGCCTTTAAGAACTAATAACGGAAGGCTTATTTCTGATGATTTTTCAGATAGTTGGGTTGCAGATTCTACTTTTTTCTTCAGTTTTTATCAAAAATTTAACCTGTTTTCCCTCATCTTAAATGACTACTAGAGAACAATATGCCTGATGAACAAGAATATCACTGTAGTTCTGAGCTGTTTAAGAAAAATGATGTGAAGTTTATACAATGACATGAATCCCGGACCAGATGATATTTCCCAAAGGGTTTTGAAGTATATTAAGGATTAGATATCAGAGTCACTTCTTAACACATTTTTAAGTCTTAGAGTAGTGAGCAGTTGCCAGAGAATTGGAAATTGGCTAATGTTTATCCTCTTAAGAGTGGTGATAAAAAAATATTACAGATCATTATAAACCTATTAGTATTAGATCAATGGTGGGAAAAGTTTTGAAAAGTATTGTAAAAGATGCTTTACAAGGTCATTTAATGAAGTTTAAAGTTTGGTTTCACTAATCTTTTGACATCCTTTGAAGAGGTTACTACTTATGTAGATGAAGGTAAAGATGTAGGTTTGGTGTATCTGGTTTTTTGGAAAACATTTGACAAGGTGCCACATGAAAGGCTTCTTAAAAATTATCTCTCTGGTTTTGTGGAGGTAAGTTGGCTCATTAGATTGAAAAATAACTGAAAGTAAGAAAGCAAAGGGTTGTTGTAAATGGAGTTCAGTCAAACTGGATTAATGTTTCAAGTGGAGGTATCACACAGTTCAGTGTTGTGACCTTTGATCTTTTTTATTTATTTCAATGACATAGATAAAGGAATGGCCAATGACTTGATTATACTTGCTAATAATACTAAGGTCTTGGTTGGAAGGTGCTACTGCTTTCTAAAAGGGTTTAGGTCATTTGCTGAGTTGTTCAAATAACTAGCAGTTGGATTTCAATTATAATAAATGTAAGGTAATGAATGGGTTATCATAATTCAAATTATAAGTATAATTTTGATGGGAATAACCTTACAATGTTATGGAAGATAATGATCTTGGTGTTTTGGTTGATCAGTCTCTAAACTATATCCAAGCAGTGTGCTTTTGCTAGTGGTAGGGCAAATAGGAATTTGGGTTGTATTACAGAGATATTGTATACAAGTCTAAAAAAGTAATTTCATTGGATAGATGACTGGTTAGATCTCATTTGGAGTGGTTTATTCAGTCTTGGCCTCCTTACCTTAAAAAGGACATTGAATTGTTGGAAAGTTTTTAAAGGAAAGCTACTAGGATGATACTTGTTGTGGAAAGGTTGTCATACAAGGACAGATAAGATCTCTGGAAAGTTTTAGGGGATGTAATTGAGGTATTCAAGATTATTAAGAGAACTGATAGTTTTGATGCATCATCTTTTCTTGTATTTAATTATAAGGATGGTAGGATAAAGGACACAAATATACATTTTGAAAGGGTATGATTCAACTGGAGTTTGTACAGTTTTACTTTTCTAACAAGGTGATTTACCTTTTTGAATGGTTTACCATCAGATGTGGTGGATGCAGTAAATTTTAAGGAGTTTAAGGGAAAATTCGATAAATGTATACGAGATCAGATACAAATTGAATTGTTTTTGTTTAAGAAGATGAGACAACCTCCATGGACTACCAGGCCCTTTGTTGTCTGTCCCTTAAACTGTTGATATCTGGTATATTGAAATTTAATACATTGATGTTTCTTTTTTATTCTACTTAGAACCTACTTCCATCATCATGTCTTTGAGACCACAAGTCATTAAGCAAGATGGAGATGCCAGTTTTAGTGTAACTTGTAAGGCTCGTGGGAAACCTAAACCTCAAGTTAAATGGCAAAAAAATGGACAAGAAATCACAAGAGAAAATAGTTTATTCTACATTGAAACAACTGAGCAAATTGAAGACAAAAATGCATACATTGTGAAAAGTACATTGGAATTTCAGGGGACTGGGAAACAGCAAGAAACAATTTCCCCTGAAGACAGGGGTCGATATTCTTGTGAATTTGACAATGGTTTTGGAGAACCAATAAAGTCAGAAATGCTGCTTCAAGTAGAACGTAAGTAATATTATTTACTCTGAATATCATGGTTTGACTTAAAAATTTTAGGGGAACCTAACTCATTAAATTAAGTAGACTTGCCAATTTTGTGATTTTTCATATATGATTACTATGAAATACAAGAAACTTTGCTTCATTTGTTACTAACATTTTACAGGTCTGTTTTAGTGCTTAAATGAAAAATGTTCAAGCAGAAAATGTGTTTTTATCTAATAAAATTTAACTTTTTTGCTGAATTATCTTTGGTTTAAAAAGCTCATTGAACCTCTAATGTTTTAGTATTTACCCGAACTTTGAAGTTTTCTAGACTTTACATTAAACAGGTAAGAACTGACCTCATAGAATCTTCAGTATAATTAATGGCACTTATTACCAACAGTCTTACAATTTTGTTTATTATTTATAAAAAAAAAAATTAATATCTGTTTTTATACTTCTTAGATTCTCCAGTTGTACATCATACCTATAGTGTAGTAGCTTATGATATGGGAGAAACCGCTGTTCTTCAGTGTAAAATGCAGGCCTATCCTGAACCCACTTTTGAGTGGTATTTCAAGGGACGTATCTTAGAGAACTATGGAAATTACAAAACAAATGTTACAGATATTGGAGAAGACATCTATGTAGGGACTCTGTCTATTTGGGATATGAAGGACTCGGAGTATGGTGACTATACTTGCCAAGCCCGAAATCGAGTTGGAGAAGATGAAAAGACTATCATTAAACTTGTCAAGAAAAGTATGAATATTTTTTTTTTTTATAAGTAATAAAACTATAACAATAGCCCCCCTGTAAAAAAAAAAATCTAAGGTTTTTCAAAATTCTTTCCTGTTTTTCTCAAAAAAATGCAAAACTTTTTGTAGACTTGGATGTTTTTCATTTTATGTTAAGCATATTTTAAAACTTTTGAACTTTGTGTGTTAAAAAATTTCTGTGAAAATACACAAAGAACCCCTGAAAACTTCTAAAAATGTGAATATATTTGTGATTAAAATATGTAAAATATAGTTCATTACATTGCTCATATTTTGATGTGGGGGGGAAAAATTGACACTCGACATTTTTTTGCAGGTCCTCCAGAGAGTCCTATCAATGTCAGTACAATTGATGTTAATTCTGATCGAATCTCCATAAAATGGGTTGAAGGGTTCAATGGTGGTTTCTCAAACACAGAATTTTTAATCAATTATGTAAACTTGAAAACAGGAAATACCAAAAATTTGTCTTGTCATGATCAAAATCCCTGTCAAATTACAGGTAACCCATATGTTTATTATCCTATTCTAAGTTAGATTAAAAAAAATTGTTCTATCTTTATCTAAACTGTTAAGAGAAGTTAATTTTTCTACCTTTCAAAATCTTAAACTTTGTAGCTTGTGAATTCGTAGAATTATTTTAATTTGCATTTTTTTTTGTGTGAGAAAGGGTGTTTTATATATACATCAAGTAGTTCAACTAAATAATTGTTATTTAAAAATTGTTCTTATACAATTTTTCTGTGCTTATAAGTGTTTATTGATTTATTTTTTAATGTCCTTAAGCTAGGCAAAAAAATGTAAGAATGCCACCCATTTGAAATATTATGTAAATTTTGCTGATGTTCACTTTAAAATAGAAAAGTAAGCATGTTTCCTAATTTTCTTGTATAATAATTCATAATTTTAATAAGGAATTTAATATATTTCTAAGTTCACTTTCTACTTATTGCTCATATAATGTATATCTTATAGAATATAGCCCGATCCTATTTTAAGTCCACATTTGTATTTTTTTTCTTTCTTAAATCGTATACTACTACCATTTAAAATATTTTAATAGAAAACTATTTTTTCTTTCAGAGCTTCAATCAAAAACAGATTATAAGTTCAAAGTAAGAGCTGTTAATCCACGTGGTTATAGTCCATACTCTGATGAAATAGTTGTTTCCACAAAAGGTAACATTTATGTTTTTATGTGGAATCTGTAATGTAAACTTTTTGGGGTGGATTTAAGTATCAGTTAAGTGTGGATGAGTGCCACCCAGTAGTTTGCATGCATGTAATTGTGGATATGAGGTTCCATGCTTTGTGCCTTGTTATTGCCAAAAACAATGGGTGCATTATGAGAGTTTTTCTAAATCCCACCATTTAAATTAGGGTAGCCCAAGAGTTAGCAGTAGGTGGCATTGACTGCTGCCTTCCTTCTGGTCTTCTGCTTCAAAATTAAGGATGGCTAGGGCAAATAGCTTTGCATGAAATTGAATTAAACAAACATCTTGGGGCTAATCACACTTAGTAAGAGCAATTTAATAATGTAGTGACATGTTGTGCAAATGCAAGCCATAGTACTAGGGCACCGTATTTAGCACCTTTATATTTGATGTGCAGCAACTTTCCAATTATTTAATGTGCAATAATGCCATGTGTAGGCTTACATCTGGGAGAATTGTCACATTTATTTTCAGTGAAGGATGTTTGTATGGCAAACTTTTAAATGATGGAGAGCTGAAGAAAACATTTTTGAAAAAGGGGACTTTAATTTATGGAGACAATAAAACCTCACTCAGTAGAGTATTTGGGAAAGCAGTGAGTTTCTAAACCAAATCTTAAGATAATCAAGAGCAACACCCTCATCCACAAAATAAAAGAGTACCCTATGGCCCAAGAAAAGCATTGTGATGAAGCTGGGCATATTTCATGGTACAACTAAGATAGTAAACAAGAATTTAATGTTGATGAAATATTATGAGCCAAAGGCTCATATACTTGCAGCTACATATTGAAATCAATGAGTATTTTCGTAAGAAATCTGAAGAATAAATTATAACTGCAGCTATTCTATTTTACCACACAACTATCAAGCCCCCCTAATGGTGTTACAAAGGAGTATTTTTGCCTTTGACCTACTACACAGTGGAGGGGTCTGGTGCCAGTTTGTGGTCTAAGATTGACCTTGTTTTCCTTTATAGAGACTTGTTACAATGAAAATTGTAGTATTGGGTAGTGGTGTGTAATCACAGTTGTTAGGTTGGGTGTGATAGATGATGGAAAAATGTGTTCCAAGAGCAGTATATGAACTGGAACATCATTCGTATAAAGCGTAATTAACACTTACTGTTAAATGTATTAGGGTTTAGTTTTAAAATGTGAAATAAAAAGTAAAAGAATAATTAAAGGTGTATGAATATATCTAAGTTTGCTTTGTTTGGTTAAGGTATGCATTGAATTTTTTTAGTTTATAAAAACTTCCATGATTTATATGTATACATGTTTTAAAAAAACAATGCTTTATTGTTAAGCATAATTGACAAAATCCTAATATTTCTTTTTTTTTCTTTCTTTTACAGTAAACATGAAAGGTAAGTTGAGATTTTGTTTTTGACTTAACTTCTATTCGTTAACATATGAATTTTATGAAATATAAAAATAACCTTATTAGACTAATTATATACATGTACGGTTGTATTGTTGATAGCTTATCCTCTTTTATCTTTATATAGAAATGTTAGTCAAATATTACATGTTTTTGTTAACTGATTATTCAGTTTGAAGACTATTTTAATGCACATTTACCTGTTTATAAATAGAAGTAACAAAACAAATGGAATAGCGAGACAATTTTTGTTAACAAAAAAACAACATAATTATATTTATATATTTTTTTCTAAAATAAAATATGAATATGTTGCTTTTATAACAAAGCAAATGTAAAATTATACTTAATATAATTTCTGTAAGTAAGCAATATAAAAAAATAAATCTGATATTTTCTTTAGTTTCTTTTAATCTCATCACAAAAATCAAATAGTTGCTTACTACTTTAATGCAATTTGTGTTGTAGATATGCCTCGAGCTACTGTTGCGCAGTATGACAGAGAATCTCGCCATGTGTTCTTTAGAGTGAATCCTACAGTCTTCAATTTACTTGCCAAGGTGAGAAAGATTTCTCATTTCTACTCTAAGTTTCACTTATGGTATTAATCATTGAAGAATGTATAACTAAGTAAACCTTTTTTCTTTTGTTTTCTAATATCCTTTTATTTATTTATTTTGATTAAAGTTGAAGTAGTTGTAAAAACTTTTGTCAAAAAAGTCTCAATGCAATCAAACAACGTTGTATTGCATTGAAAAATGTGGAATATTGTCATGGTGAATTATTGTTTCATGAAAATTCCCTGACAGTGATAATAAAATTTTGTGCCTATTCTCAGAAATATTCTTATTTTTAAATAACTGTGAAATTTTTAATTAAGAATGCAATACTCTAGTGAAGAGTTACTTATTCTCTTTAAAAAAAAATTATATTGAAGAAATGAATTATCATCACAATTATTTGATAACTATTTATGACTTGTATATTCATTGTTTCTTTCATATTAAGATTCTTTATTTTGTTTCAGGTGGAAGCTAAACAAAATTGGGAAACTGAATGGCACCTGCAAAAAACTATTCCTGTTGAACATGAAGAAATTGAAATCTATTTAGATCCATCTGGTGAAGAGTTTTATGATGTACGAATTGTGTTGTGTCTTCTGAGTAATGAGTCTTGGTGTGGAGATGAAAAATTAGCAGAACCCTATGTTGGTGTGTATCAGAGTTTTGTGCATGGATATGATTATAAGTCAAGAAAAGTTTACTTGTCGTCTAATTCTTCTTAGGCTTTTGTATTTGGACATGTCAAATATGGTTTAGTCAGTTATGAATAATTTGGAATGTGTAAAGAAGTTATTTTCTTTTCAAATACATAATTTCATATCTCCTATGATGGCTAAACATATATATCAGTCAGTGGGGGGTGGCCAGTAGCGGTACTGATGGGATTTCTCCAATTTTCTCTCGTTACGTGAGAGATACCTACAATCTATGTACTTTCAGTCATTACTGGTATGGTTAGAACAAAAACAGAAACACTATTTATATTCATAACTGGTAAAACATTAATTCTATAATTGCATTTCATTTTCAGATGCTGTCAATCTTTTGAGGGACTTCTTTTTCACACATTGTTTATACATACTTTTGAGATACATTCATATTAAACAAGATGTTTTTATGTCATGTTACTGCTTTTCGATAAACTGAAATAGAAAAAAAATGTTCTTTAAATAATCAAGCTCTGTGCACATCTTTCAATCTTTACATTATCACTGCCGTATTTCTGAAAAACAAACTCATGTTTCTCTTCATATTTGTTAGTTGCATTTGTAAATTTCATCAATCATTTGAGGGATTTAATATCTTCTACCTATGCATAGCACAGGTACATTTGCATATTTATTTAATAACTTAATCTTTCATACTCTTGTCATGAAATGCTTTAGTGCTTGTTCAAAAATCTTTTTTTTTCCCCTTTAGTATTTGATGTTCTGTGCATATTTACTCTGTTTTCTCTTTTCAGTCATTATATTGCATATAAGTAAGTGCTAAGTGTACATTTACAATTTTTTATTTTTAATGAAAGTGCTTATTAATATTACTAGATGGTGTTCCTCAAGTACTTGGAACCAAACCATTGCTGTCTACAGCTGTTATGGTTGTTATTGCAGCAGTTGCAGCTGGAGCCTTTCTGTTATTAGTGGTTATTGTAATCTGTTGTTGCTGGAAGAAAAGAGGCAAAAAAGGTATTTTATTAATTTGTGATAAAAGTTGCATAGTTTTGTAATTACATTCGTTAAGTATTTAAAAGCACCAAATGTTTTTTTAACATTGTTTTTGTAGAATATAAGAATAAGATTTTAGTGATATATGTTGTATGATATACAACAGAATGAAACATTTTTTGAAATACCCTTGTACATTTTGATGAGTGGAAAGAAATACAACTGTGATTTTGCTGTATGTTTTCCAAGTAAACAGACTGTTACATTTCTTAAGTTTCTAATTGTATATATTGTTTAGGGGACTTCTTTGTTCACTTAAAGAGTATGTTAGCTCTAATAATGTGATGTTGATTTTGGTCAGTAATTACAGATCATGTTATTTTCTGAAAGTAAATATTACTTAGATTACCTTCTTCATCTATTAGAAAACTTGTTAGTTCTGGTACCTGTGTTTAGGTAATGTGTTTAGCATGTTTCTTGATGCTGTTACTTTTTTGCTGAGAACAGAGCATTTTTGTTCACAATTGTGTTGTGTAGGGGACCTTTCTAGAGCATCTTAAAATCACAAGCAATGCAGTAGTCTATATATTCTTGTAAACTTTATTTTTTGCTATCCATGTATTGATGGTTTACTAAAATCTAAAACTTTTATATGGCATTGAGATGGGATGGATTTCATTATAGTTTTCGCTTAAAATGTTAGAGGATATGATAAATCAACAAAAAAAGAGACATTAATCACTTCTGATCAGAACAACTTACCTATGTAGAGCAAAACTCAATCAACCTTATGAGTGCAGCTAATTAAATATACTGTTCATACATTCTTACTTACAAAGATTGGAATGAATTGTTTCATCAGTTGGGTACCCTTGCTGTTGGAATATTTCAAGATATTGGCTATCTTAAGAGGCTTAGATTAGTCTTAAATACATGTACTAAGCTAAAAATGAAAAATAATCTATGTTATATTAAAAGCTTGAAAACAATAAATGCGGATATATTAAACACTGTATTGCAGAGAAACTTTACCCATTTTAGGTCATTTAATGGTTTTTATGGATACCCTAATTTGACCACTTGCTCGTGCAGGTATGAGTTAAGCATATCCTTCTAATATTATTGAAAGAAAGTGGAGTAGAGAATTTTAGCAACTAAAAATGCTAGGCTTGTATTTTCTTTCGAGTGAAAGTAACTTAACCTATCATTATTCACATGCACTTTCAGCATCAAATGTCATTCTCATAGGAAGATCTCTTCTGATCACATATTAAAACAACAAGTTTTTATTGCCACATTCACAAGCATAGCTGCAGGTAAAACGAATATTGCCAAGTTCCACATATGATACCCAAGCACTTTAGCATTATGTTCTGAGAAACGTAGGGTTAAAAATTAAATTTGGTACTTTCCAATGCACACTTTGTTGTTGTTTTTTCATTCAAGGATTAAAAACTTCATCCAGGCATCTTTTTTATTACTACTGTACAAACATTTGTACATAACAAAACTTAGTTACCTTCTAAAATAATTTTGCTGTTAAATAGCATTTAGGACTTAAAATCGTATTTTTATACAATGATGTATATGTTTCTCCTTACTTATAGCTAACAAGAAAGATTATGAAATGAAGGGATCAGAGTAAGTATAATATTTAAGATCATTACTTCCAAGCTTGTTTTTGATTCTTTGAATTAGTACATTTTTAGTGTATGAAAATAAGAAAGAATTAATTGCCTTAAATTTTTATTTGTCATAATTTTACTGTAATGGAGCAATGGGGTGGCTTTTTGTGTATCTGTCTATATGACTGAAATAATAAATACAATGGTGCCATTTATTGAATGGCACCACAGACAAAAATCCATAAAAAAAAATTTCACACTTTGGGTATTCAAGATTCAGAATGTTAGAAAAATATAACTATGGTATGTGCAACAACCATTTCTTTATAACAGAACACAATTTTCAATAACAGTGCTCTCCTCACAACAAGAACACTACTTTCTCTAGGACTGTACTTGAGCATTTGATTACACCTTTATTTGTGTAATTTTTAAATTTTGTACTAAAAAAGTGGAGTTCATTAAAGAGTAGCACTTTTAATATATAAAACATTACAATTTATATCAGTAACATTTATGAAAATTTTGAGCCCTGTACATTGAATTGTTTTGATGCAATGAGTTGTATATAACTAAAGAGAACAATCCAAACGCTTTTTCCATGCAGTACTTCCCAGAAAAAATACTTTTTTTAGAAAATGTTAACTTTTTATTAAATTTCATACGATGAGGTATGAATACTATGATTAGTAATTACTAGCACTAAAAGCTGCCCATAGGATGGTGTTTCTGCTAGAGATACTAAAATACAGTGCTAAGACTTTTCACAAAATTAAACCTTGAGTTCTCAGCCCTTGCACATTTGACATTCTATACATTCTAGAGCTTTCAACAGGCAACTGTACATTGAACAATGCTTGTACATTAAGTCATGAAATAATTAGATTTCTTAATAGTAGTGAAAGTTATAGCATATCATTTAAAAACTTTTAGTTCTGTTAATGATAAAATGAATATTGTTTTTTGTTTTTTTTACAAACTTAAATATTTTATATTAACAAAACTGTACAATTAAATGCATTACTGATTTCAGTGCGCAACCAAAGACAATATCACCTCCTTATTACCCAGACAGTAATACCGGTAATAAAATTGTAGAAGGAAATATGGATGATATCAACAAGGCTCCCATGTATACAACTTCTATTCAAGGACTTAATGGACATCTTCTGCCTAGCCAACATCATGCTAATGGTAAGCCTTTTTTACATTGATCTTTCTTTTATATATATTGTTATGTCTCTGTATGTTTGCTTGTTAATTCTTACAAGATACAAGTCCTTTCTTTATAAAACTTGTTTATTTTTCCTCAATACAACTTTGTAATTTACTTAATTTTTCACAGTTACACACACACACACACACACACACACACACACACACACACACACACACACACACACACACACACACACACACACACACACACACACACACACACACACACACACACACACACACACACACACACACACACACACACACACTATAGTTCACAACAACTCACTCACTTTCTATCGCGCTTAGGCTTAATTGTCCGTCCCCGCAAGCTATAGTTTCAATCTCTGTGTCTGCTATCCTCAGTTCCCGCCGACCATAACCGCTGTCTTTTTTTTTCTCTCTGCCTGCTTTGTTTCCGCTACGTCTCTTTCCTTGTCTCCACTATTGCTTCGACTCCGCCTGTCTCTCTCACTGTCTAGCGCACTTGTATACGATAATACTACCTGTTCTAGAAACTTCTAAGACTCTCAACACGTGCTACCAACATTAGTTGACGCTGGCTGTCACAACACACCAGTGAATCTTCTAAAATATTCGTCACGTGACCCCCCCCACTGTCGTAACAATATATATATATATATTTATTTAATTATTTAAATAACAGTTTTGAAATCAGTGTATTAAGAGTAAATTTGTTTAAATAATTTAATTTTTGATGATAATTACAAGACCCTTTGTGGAACTGCAACAGTATATGCATATGTAATTTGTACAGTGATTTTATATTTTGTAGATTTTAAACTCTGTAATTGAAAAATAAATTTTTGTTCTGCAAGTGCTTTTTTGATTGTACATTGTTTTTATGTCATTGTGATCTAACTTAATTTAACAGAGCCTGCTTTCACTGAACAAACTTTAAATTCAAAAGTGCAAGCCTACATAAGTAACTGAACATGTAACAATCTGCGACCTTAAAAGGATTCGTGAAACTATAAAAAAAAGTATCTCAAGACCTTTACCATAATGCTCGAGATGATCAACACTTTCATCACTCCTATTAATAAAAATTGTACAATTTGAAGTATAATTTGTAATTAGAAAAATCTGATTTTCTTTGTTTTTTCTTAAATACAGAACATTGTTTTGCCTATTGTTTTATTCTATATGTAAAATATTCTCTTGTGTGTTATTAGTTCCAGACTGAGTTTCTGTATCATGTTATTGGTTTATAGGGATGATGTACTTGCCAGAACGAGACCCAAGTGGTAATGACAGTCATTCTGATCTATGGATGAAATCTGAGGGAGAATTACCTCGCGAAGGTTCATACCATACATATGATGGTGGAATACCTAATGGTTACTATTACCCAGAAGACTACCAACCATTGACAGAAGACGTCATGAATATGAAGAATAGAGAACATTTGCGTAAGCATATATGTTTCTATTTGTGTTTTAGATGATAACATAACTAACAGTATTAGTATTAGACTATCTAAAATTGTTCAATAATTGTGTAGAAGCAAGAATGAAAATTTTCTTGTTTTTGCACATTAAATTTTAAAGTACCGAAACTGCAGTGGTAAAGTGTGTATTTGATCTCATTTTGGAGGATATTTCAATGAATATCAATAGTGAAATTACATTGTTGAAGGTAGTATGTATTTCATCCCAATTTTAGGTGGCAAATTTAGTAACTTTTAATATTACTATTGGAAACTCACTGCTGGTGTAAATAGTGTGTGTATATTTACGTTTTGGGTACTAAGTGATTTTTATTTGTGTTGGAACATCAATTTTTAAACTGAAATATAATTTAATAAAGAAGCAGTGTTAAGCCCTGGTTAGATAAATCGAATTTAAAAGAAAATAAATGATGTCATTCTATTGAAATGGTTTTATAGTTTGGAAGTTAATTTTGTTGTTTTATCTTTATAATACATATGTGTGTGAGTGCACATACTCTCATTACATAAACAAAAGAGCATTAGGAGACTTAATAGCTGTATATAATGTTTACTTAACTGTTGTGAGATAAATCAGTAGTTCCCAACCACTGATCCACAAGACAGTTGAAAAAGAAAGTGTGTTAAAAAGTACAAGTATTGAAATATAATATTTTACAACTTAATGTAAAATTGCTTTAAAAAAAGTTAATAGTTAATACTATTACTAAAAGTGAATACAAAAATGGTCCATGAAATTTTGGGATTGGAACTCGCTGGTTCTCAAATCTAAAAAAGTTGTGAACCACAGACATGAAGACAATCAAAGAATGGTAGTATTGTACTATCTACACATTATTGAAGATGTTTGGTAAGAACTTTGTTGTTATTGTATTGAATCTCAATTTCTATATTTATCATGGCAGCTTTTATAAAATGTAAGTAGAAAAAGTTTTTTCACTCTTCATGAACCCATATTAACAGAAAACTGTGTGAAAGGTTACAGGAATTGAATTGTTATAAGTGATTGGGAAAGAATTCAAAATAAATGTTTGTTTATGACATAATTACTATTTTGTGGATTAAATTTGGTTTTGTGCTAATCATAACTGATCTTTTTATCTCTCCAGATTCACCTTATTATGATGTTAGTGGATTGCCAGATCCATATGCTATGGGTGAAGATGATAAAACTCAGCAGATCTCCTTGAGTTTTGATGAAAGTTTAGAAAGTGGATACTCAACCCCTAACTCTCGCAACCGTCGGGTTGTGCACGAAATTATTGTTTAAAATGGTATTTGATAACCAAAAGATAATCTGTCCAAAGGAAAGTTAAAATGTCAGTCCTGGATTAATGTGGTTACAAGAGTTGCCTTAAGAATGAACTTGTAGTATATTTTTTCTGTTATCAACTTCTTTAATAGGTGAATGAACCATAAGTTGAAAAAAGGCAAAGGGTGCTATGTAAAAACGTCGATGATTGGTGAAGCACTTCTAACATAATGAAAACACATGTTGACTTGCATTGTTCTGATCAGAGAAAGTAAATAAATGATCAGACTGTTGCTGGAATTGTTCTTCATTGTGGAAGAGATGAGGTTCGTGTCATAAAGTAATTCAACAGACTGTCGTAGCTATAAGCTATGAAATTACAAATCTCAAGCTCAAGAACTTCTATAAACATTCCTTTATAGTGGCTCACTTATGGAAAATGTACATAAGACTTGTAAGATAGTATTAGACAATGTGTGAGCTTTATTTTTTTCCAGGACAGACTTTCACAGAGTTTGTAATTATACTTGTGCCCGTTTTTGATGTATGATTACATCAGTGTTTTATCTTTGAACTTCAGTTTTGTAATGACATATATATATGGTTTCAAAATGCATCAAAATAATTAAATACAAGATACTCATCATATCCGCATGGTGCTGATTTGTTGTTTTGGTGCTTGAGTTGATGTTTTAAATCCAGTTTCACCACAGAGTTGGTTGTGGTCTTGTACCATTTTTATCTGTTTAGCAGAACTTAGGCTAGAAGATTTTTTGTGCCATGTTTGAATAAGATACTAAATGTAATTGCCTTGTTATTTAGCTATACAGTGGTGCTCAAGGTTCCGTTATTGTTAAATGCTTTATACCTCTTATATGTTTACTAAAAAAAATTTTAATTTTTTTGTTTATTTTGCTTGATTTGACCTTAGAGTTATGTAAAGTATATACATTACATGAATTCCTAAATGTTCAGGATAAAAAGATCAGAACTGTCAAGTAAACTGAACCACATAAAATATCTTTTTCTTTGTTTTACTTCACAGAACTAATTTTCTTTTTTGTGGTACATAAAATATTTTTGAAACTTCAAAATTCAAAACAACCAAATGTTTGATAGTTTTAACTATCATTTTAAAGTCGAGCATCATATAGTGTGTTAAACATAAATAGTGCGATAACTTATATTTTTTAAAATTCATATTTCATTTAATTACACACAAACTTCCTTTATTTTTATAATTGTATTATATGTACATTTTAGTAGTTTATTTTACATCTAGCTTAACTTCCCATAATCAACATTGTTATTAGTTGCATTTAGAAAGTAATGTCCTTCCTACTTCATTTTGAAAAGCTTTTTTTTTTTAATTGCATGCAAGTTCATGTCACATTTAATGTTATTCCTTTTTTTAGTATTTTTGATACTATAGAATGCAATTTTGTTTTGAATTGGGGATAGTTTGTTCCATAACTTTTGAAAAGTTTAATATCAATAATTTGTTAGGTATGAATGTACCCAATTTTTTTTTTTTTTTTTTAAAATTGAGATGTTTTCTACAAGTGAAAGTTTTACTTGCATTCAAGTAAACATTTCTATCTGATAAATGGTCTCAGTCAAATGATTGTCAGTTTACTTACATACTTTATAGTTTTCCAAATCGTTATCGATTCCTTGTTTAGGAGGAGATATGAACAGCACATTCATCTTGCATGACATCACAAATGATATAAAATTACTTGCTGTCTTTGTGTTGAAATTGTTTAATTACTTGATTTGTACAAAATATGTGGTTTTTTAAAGTTTTCATTAATTGCTTAGCAATCCTTGTGTTTGTATTGGGAAACTGGATGTAAATAATTCTGGTCACATACTATTAAAACAAACATCTAACTACTCTAAGTTGATAATTTATTATAAACAAGAAACCCAACTTGGAAAAATATTTTTAGTTTCAATAAGCTAGGGCTGCTAAAAAAAGCATGTCTAGATTATAGTATTTTGTGTGCTTCATTAGAACATAAATGTTTCAATTAATACTCTGTGTAGATTCCAGAGAGACATCTGGTGATTGGCCTTAAATATCTCTTTATGCTAGACAGAAAATGTTCTTGTCTATTTCTCTGCAAAATTCAATTTGAAAAATTATTGTAGTCTTACAATTTTTTTTAAAACTTATGAAATGTCAGCCTGAAGGGTAGTCACGTATAAGAAATTTAGTTACTCTTCAAGTACAAGCCTTGAACTCCTCTTGTATAAGCAAAATCTTCAGTTTACTTCGAGCAGCACTGGGTGTGGAGTCTAGTTTCATAGTGAATTGTTCCAGACAAGTATTAGAAATCAATAACCAGACACTGCATGCCAGGAAGTTTAAATCATGGGATCAGCTACCGAGACAAGAACTCAATGAGGACAGAAGAAAATTAACTAACCACAAACAAACGGCATTAAACCAATGAGGCAACGAACACTTGTTTTAGTTGTAAGTTCATCTTTACAATGTCGTTAAGAAGAGAAGCACATGAAGTATTCCATGACATTTATATTTATGCACAGTGTGTGTGGCTTACCAGGTGCACTTACTGTAACAAGTTTTGTATTACATAAACAGCTTGGTTTCTTTATGTAGGTATACAACCTAAGATATTTAAATCATATATTTTAGTTATAAATCATAAAACGTAGCTAAGCAAAAACAACGCGGTTACTGGAAGGTATTCTCGAAAAATTTCAAGACATTACGGTGATTCTATGATGAAATGAAACTATTAGAACATGGCTATTGTTACGCTTCTGCAATAGGTGTTAAAAATCAAGCATCATTGCCCCTTTCGGCTTAGTAGTAAATTTTAGGGATTATTCTTGGCTCCAACCTGCTAACCCTAACAGTTATGACTTTGTATTGTTACATCATTTCTGTGTTTGCTAGATAGTCATAAGTGTGAACATATGAAATTTTAAGTAATAACTATATTGCAAGAGCCTATATGATAAGCTATGAATAAGTAACTTGTTTAATTCTTTAGCTTTGTCACATACAGTATCTTAATATATCTAAACAAAGAATTATCGGTGGCGTTTTTCTAGCTAATGCTATTATAGTTATTTATTTTGATACAAATTAAAGTTGGTGAGTACGGAACACAGACCTAAATGGGATTAAAAATGAGTAATTACTTTTGCACTCCTCCCCACCCCCCATTGGTACGACTTTAAGTCTGCGTACTTATTACGCCAAAAATTAGATACTCTGGGTGAACACAACACAGATAGCCCGTTATGTAGCTTCGTGCTTAATTACAAACGAAATTTTGCACCTATCGCGTTATCATAGTAAAATTATTGAATATTGGTGTGTTAAACAGCGTGCACAATTTCTGTCACTCAAACTAAGATCATTGATTCATACGCAGTGGTTCTCCATAGCCGTTGTTTTGTTCCAAAAGGTCTCACAGTGGCAAATCTGAAGGCTTATAGCGCTAAAATCCACGTTTCTATACTTGTGGTGGGAATAGTACAGATAGCCCATTGTGTAGCTTTGTGATTAACTACAAAAAAACTGTTCGAAAAGGAGCTAACTATACATAGCTTTCAACACGCATTAACATGACAGCTAATGTTTTTATAATATGTTTAAAATATGCTTAGGTACCCTTCTAATCATCAGTTGCAATCATAGCAACATATACGCAACCAAAGAGTTATTTGTCCGTGTAGGCAAACACGTGAAATATATTCTTTATTTTATAATATCAAACACATAAGATACTTATTATATTCATGGTAAAGAGCCACTGCCTTGTAACAGTCTTGCATTGTGAACTTTCCTCCTGCAACACTAATATTCCATAAGAAAAAGGTTTAGTAGCTAGAGCAAGTTTATAAACTCATCTAACTCTCCAGAATATGAAAAAGCCACTGATTTAGCGTCCACGTTATAGTCATATTTGAATACCCCTGTATTCAGTAATTTACAATACAACTAAACAGACAGAATCCTAAAAACCAAGACTGTTCTTAACATTTTTATTAATACAATTAAAGCCAAATTTTACAAGAAATCTTGTAACACCCTACGGCTGCAAAGGTCCATATGTATTAAATACCTATCCTTTATTTCACCATCCAATGCTTAGTCTCTTCAAACAGTTTTCCAGAAAACTCTCCTATTTTGTAAAATGTGATTAGTTCCCCTTCGTTCCCAGGTTTATTTTGCAGTATGTTTTTCATATTAGTCAACCCTGTCTCTTTCTTTTTTCTTTTAAAGTAATTCTATAATATACAAGTAATAAGAAACGTTTTGTAAATGTAAAATAATATAGGGATGGCAGTGCCAAAAAGAATGCAAATTTAATGTTACGCTGTACAATACACGAGTACAAAATGGTTACGAGGATGGTCAATTCGATCGACCTCGTAGCGGGAGTCTGTAATAATAAAGTCATGTTTTGACTCAACTTGGTTTTCCTTGTAAGTAAGTCCTAGGCTCTTAGTTACATTACATTGATACCTACCCTGACATGATCATTATAATATGATAAACAAACAGTCAGAAATATATAACTTCCAACTGCAGTAATATTAAAGTCAACTATGCATTTTACAGTGTAACATTAAATTTTAATATTGAAAGTCATGTAGAGATAATCTATGGAAAGATGTAACAACCCTGTATTCTTGTTTGCATTCGTTTTGGCACTGCCGTCCTTACATCATTTTACATTTACGAAATGTTTTTTATTACTTGCTTTGTGAAGTTTTTTTTCCCCTGACCGAGAGTTAACGTATTCTATGAATGTGTGTAATAAACTTTAATGTTATGTTATTAATTTTTTTTTACTCCTTCACTTCATGCATAATATAGGGATTAGTTCTCAAAGACTCTGATTGTATAGTGTACAAAGCATCGAGTATTCTACATGTTACAGTAATCAAATATTCATCTATTATTGGTTGGTAATTACTTTTTCACATGTACTTAAGCTCTTTAAAGGAACACCACATTTCTGTAAAAAAAAGGTTAACTTCAGTGGCTAATGATAACATCATTTACACTAGAATTATGATTTTTTTTAACTACTACTAGTTATTACGACTAAACAATGACAACGTTCATTGCCCAGAAACACATAGAGTGGATTTAGTTTTAAATTGATGTTAGTGATAAAGTAGTTGTATAGTTATCTTGACTGAAACAAGAAGAAGAAAGATGAACAATTTGGTGAGTTAGTCACCTTTTGGTTTGGTATCTTAGCAGTGGTTTCTTGCCTTGTTTTGGGTTTTTTTTGTTTTTTTTAGGGGGACGTAACAGGACGCGAACCAAGGAACCATTGAGTTGCGATCTGTGTGTTAATTATAGAAGTCTTGTAAGTTTTATACAGAATATAGAAAGAAAGAAGAAGCAGTACCAAGACAAAATATTATTTTCGTTACCAGTAGTACTTTAAATGAAAACTGCTATACAAAGAAATTATAACACTAGAATTGTTGAGCTTCTGAATTACAAAGTATCAATAGAAAGTTCTGATGACGATGATATTATATCGAGTCCAAAAAGTTTGTTGATAAAAAGAGATTTTGAGTAACTATCTACTGAAAACAATTGCACCAGGATAAAGATATATCTACAAAATCGAAGCATTTGTGGAATTGATAAACTAGTTTCTCAGGAAAATACTTTGAGGGTAGGATAACTAAACTATTTTACTTAGTCTAATAAAATACTTCCAGAAATAAACCTAGAAATTCTCGAATTCGGTCAATAACTCTGTTGCTAACATACTCACAAAGGCTTAACAATATTCCGAACGAATATTAGTATGTTAATGAATCCTGTTCAAGTTCTGCGAGCAAAACTTTTAATTTATCAATTTCTAGATCAAACATTAATTAGTGTGTGTGTGTAAGTTTATATTATGAAAATAAAGTAATATATTAATAAACATACTAATGAATAACTCGTATATGGTCTATCTGAGTAGCTTTCAAGTTACTTATGTAGTGTTTAGAGTAATGCTCCTTTTGTTTGTACTTGCTCATACTTTTTGTATTCTCATGATAAAAATATTGAATTTAATTATCATTATGGAAGTCATTATTCACCCACTAAGTAGAATAAAATGTCTTTTTTTTTTCTCAAAAACCATTTTTTCATACTTTTCACAAATTATATATATATATATATATAAT